TTGCTTTGTTTTTTAATTTCAGCTTGTTACAAAAATGGAAAAGCTTCTCATAGAATGGAAATTATGAGCAGTGTGGATTTTCAGGCAATCAAAACATTTTCATGATCTCATTAAATGTATCATTTACAACATATATATGTTAAAAGAAATATGTTCCTTTGGGTTAGTAGAAGCACTGGGTACAGAATGTGTTTGAACATGTTAGGCTCCCACTAGAATCTATGCCAGAACTGTAGAAACTTGGAGAAAAAAAAACCCTACCCTTTTTCTTGTGCCAGCATCTTTAGAGACAGAAACCTTTTTTTCATATTTTATGCAAAACGAAGATGATGTTATGGCAACTTGATAGACTGTGCTAGGACTGCGTCTCAGCTGATAGATAAGTATTTCTATTAAATGCTGTCAGGTTGACTGATTCTATGATATTACTAGGATTAACGATGGATTTTCTTATGCATGAAACAACTAGTGTTACACAGGAATAGCAGTCTTCCTAAGACCACAATGTTGTCATCTGTTGAGTTTTATATGTAGCCTTGAGAACTTGGAAAATGAGGGTTCTTGAGAAGAAATCGTTACTGTAACAGTGGCTCTTAAAGCTGCTTCATCCATTTGACTGCCTCTTATAAACCACAGATTCTAGAGAAAAACGTCTACTTCAGACAGCCAGATTCCTGATGATACGCAAAGGGTAAAACCCCAGTGTTGATAAAAGGAATGGGGTACTGATGCAGAGACACCCATTTTTTTTTTTTTTTTTTTCCTCGGGGCATTGAGAGCGTGCTTCCTAAAGCATTAGTTTTAAATATGTGTTAATGAGAGATGTGTCCAGCTTTCAAAACTGTATCTTTGCCAGATGTAGGCAGCATCCTTCTCCGAGGGATGAGCTGCATGAGCTGTTTTCCACCCTGAGCCAGGCGGTGCAGCGGACGACAGGCCTGGGCTGGAGAGCCGAAGTTATTGCATTATACCTCTGCTATTTCTTTTTATTGCAGTATTGTTCCTATGGTGGTTTGCTGACAAGTTATGTGTTTTACAGATCAGGTCTGCTTGATGAGGAATCCTTGCTTAAAATTGTATCTAGGATAAACTGGGTTTGTAAATCAGACCTTATGGTTCCTATTGGAATGCTAATGATCTCAGAGGGAGGGCTTGGGTTTTGAAAACAAATCTAACCTAATGCCCAGGGTTCCTGAAAGAGCTGTTAATATCATGAAAACTCATGTTTAAGGCCTCTTTTAAAATGTAAAAACTTGTCAGGCACTGCTCAACCAAGGCTGTTTGGAACTGCTGAAATGCGCGGACACACCAAAGCATCCTTTGCAACATCTAGCCAGATCTCTGCTGTTGCGGTACAGCAATTCCAGTGCTGTCAGTAGCGACGCAAACCAGATAATGTGGCCCATCGTGGTTTGGATGTATTTGCTGCATAGATAACTATGCAAGGCAGTTAACCCATCATGCTTGGCTCTACCGAGGGGGCAAGAATGACTCTTCTCTTGGTTACTGTAGGATAGTGAGCTCCCAGAACAGTGCAACCCTCGCACACTTTGAAAAAATATTCAAATAAGTCAAAATACATCACACATTTAATAGAGTTTTGAACACTCCACATTCATTCATACTAGGTGTGAGCAGTGAGATATGTTTTACAAAACCTCTGAACGGAGGAAGCAGTACAAATCCAGGAGACAAATGTGGGTCTCGGACATCTCTTTTCCCTGCCAATCTAAGCTAGTTTCTGTTGCTACCACCAACATGTTTGCATGTGAATTAGTAATGTTAGTAGCACAATAAAGTAGGCCTTATTCAGCTGTGATAACTAGTGGCATTTTAGCTGCTGCATCATCTTGATCCGATGAAAATCAACATAGAAGGTGAAGTGGTTAACACACCAGCAGCACTATTGGTAGTCTTGCTGGCACTAGCTGGCCATTCTATGGAGGAAAATGCTCTTGTAGGTTCAACATTAACAAGTCCTCAATACCATCTGAGGAAGAAGGAAGCTAACCATTTCTGTGTTTCAAACGGTACTTTGTATTCAGCTATATAAAGATATCTGTAGCACTCCGCATAGACCTTTTAGATAGAATCATTCCTGAGGAAAGAGTCATTACGTCTGCCAAGTTTCAGGCCAAAGCAAGATTTTATAGCCCGATTGCAAACCCCTAGGACAGGGCTTTATAATGGAAATGCTGACATAGCCTTAACTATTTTGTATGACTCCAGCGGGCATCAGCTTAAATTCTAGTTATGATGTGCATTTAATGGCATGGGATCAAACGTGTAGTGTAATGGGATATTTTAAGATACTGTGCTTGAAGAGAATCGGTATTTAAACTTTATTTATGAACCATATCATTTAAATGCTTCTGAAATGTGCCATTCAGTCCATGGTTGCATGAAAAAAATTCTAATCACATTTCTCAGAATGAACAGGAGCATAGTTTTCTTCCACAGCTTTAATGCTGAGGCACTTCCAAGAAATGGGTTGGTATTATTTTGTTGAACCCTTACTGGAATATTTCTGGAAAATAAAGGTTTTCATTTTTCATTGTGGTGCTCTTTAATTCTTCATTTCAGCCTTTTGAGGTATATTCTGATTTTGCTTAGAGAAGATCTTTGAAGATCCTTCTTTCCAGTTATCAGTGACTCCACAAGAAGACAGCAGTTACTAATATTTGCTGTGTGTGCTAGATGAATCTGCTTTTTCTTGTGCAGTATCTTTAATATATTTCAAGTTAAGTGGATAGCATAAAAGTTCTCTCTCTTTCACACACAACCTAATACGCTTTTTGTTTTTTTCACACTGAGGAAGTGGTTGCTCCAAAATGGAAGCTGATGTTCATTAGTCTTGTAGGTTGACAGTAAAACTTTCTTTAATGCAGATGATGACTAGAACTCTCAATGCTTTTACTGCGAATGGGAATGTAGCGTTGAAAGCGGCCAGTTTTGCTTATTACTCAGTTGCAGTGTGGAACATAAAGCCATATAATTTATCCTAGAAAAAAAAGCTTCTCCTTTAACTGTTATTTACTGAATAATAATGCTAACTGAGATTATTTCAGTGCAGGTTACGAAGTTTCAGAGCCAATCCTAATATGTTTGTGTGATATTTTGAATCTATTTTTAATTAATTAGTAATAATATAATAATAAAGATCTCAAAGCACTTTGATAACATAAAAAATGAAAACAGTCTTTGGAGATGTGCCAGTCTGACTAAGCCAAAGAGACTCTGTCACTGGTTTCTGTTAAGCCAGAACTCCACTCCTGCTGCAAGCCTGTCCAGCCAGGAACAGGGGAACCACAGTACTTTGCTTTCAGAAATTGCAATAGCAGAGTCACGGTGTCGGTCCTGTGGTTTGCACTGGTTTATCTTTGGGATAATCGCATTTCTCCTGTTGAGTATGCAGGGTGCAGTCTGGAAGAAGGGTGTGGGCTTTCGTCCTGCAGTTGACTTATTTGTCCAATTTTTGGGGAACATTGCTATAAAAAAGGATCCCCAGTATATCTTATTTCTGAAATTTTGCAACTCACGCTATTTTGTAAGCTTCCTTTATATCTGAATACTTTTAGGGAATATGGAAATTATATGGCTTTCATCCTTTAAAAAACAAACACAAACTGATGATATATTCTAAATGGCTAATAACCGGAATTCCAATTAGTTCAGGAGTTGACAGAAAATTAAAATTCTACCTTAATACTGTGGTAAGGTGTGAATTATTTAATTGCTTCATTCCATATGGTTCTTACAGGTGCGCTCTTTTTTTTTTTTTTTTTACTTTTGGCAGAGTCAAATGACACAAAAAGGTACTGTAGTGCTCTTGACTTTACAGGAAAAATTAGTGGTCCAAAAAAGACGCTTCACATTATTTAAGAATTTTGCAGCAGCCTATCATTTGTTTGACAGGAAACAGAAAAGATTGATATGCATATCTCAAGAGCAGAGTTCCGTAATGAAAAAAACTACATACATGAATTGAATGTACAAGCTGCACTACTTAGAACTTTTGAAATTTGCTAAGAGCATTTTACAAGTGCAGTCATTTTCACTAACTTTCCTGCTTTCCATTTGGATGAGGTATCATCTGTCACCACTCAATCATTTTTTTTTTTTTAGCTATTAAAAAGGCATGTAATTTTAATTTTTGTGGCCCATTAGTGTGCAAATGCCATTGGGCTTGTTTAGCCTGAACTCATGGTCTAAAATCAAATCCCTCTGCTTTTGAGGAGACTGTTGAACACATTTTAGAAAAAACAGCGGTCACAATCTAAAAATCAAGATACGAAAATAACTAGAAACAAGTAATATTTAAAGCAACTCTACAGGGAGCAGAGATGGGTACATAAATTTTCCAAAGCAATACAGTGAACAAAATATGGAAATATGATAAAATAATGTACAGCCTTCAACTGGTAATGTTGAAATCACAATTTCATGATCTCACTGAACCTGAGGGACAAAGAATCCCAAATAACTAGAAAAGTAGAGCATATTTAACCATTACAGTCCTTTGGAGAATATGTAGTATTTGGATAGTCTCAATTTTCTTTTATTAATCAACTAATTTATTTAGATATATGCATTCCTTTAAAAAAATTTTTAAAAAGAAAAAAGAAACTGCAACAAAAATCTTGAGGGTGGTCTAAGATGTCTGTCTTCTTTATGTAACCTTTTGCATTTTGTGTTTAAGAACTGACATTCCAAATTATTTACTTTGGCTTTATGCCTGGACTGAATACTGAGGCAGCAAATTAGGAATGCTTAAGAAGTCCCACAAAGAAAGATGTTTGCTGTGAAAGTGCAGCTAATGTGACACTTGCACTGGAAGCTTTTTAGCCTACTCAAATGATAAAAGATGGCATGGGTCTATGTGGTGTGAGGGGAGTGCATGAAGACTGAAAGTACCATGTGCTGAGCTGTACAAGGTGCTTCTTGTGGCCAGTTATCTGCCACCGTGACTATGCTGTTACTACCTTTTGTTTCTATTCCAGGAGCTAACTTTGTTACTCGAAAAATTAGCCGATCGGTAGCAAAGATTCACCTTGGACAGCTGGATTGTTTCAGCCTGGGCAATCTGGATGCTAAGAGAGACTGGGGCCATGCCAGGGACTATGTTGAGGTAAGCTGTGGGCCACATACTTTTTTCTGAATCGTCTTCATAGTGGGGATAATGCTTATTGCTGTAACTTCAGGTCGTGGTCCACAGAGGGCTATCTCAAGATGTTTTTGCCTGTTGAGGCCTGTTAACTTTTTCTTGCTCTTGATTTCAGACTAGGGAATTTAGTAACACAGCAGTCTACACCAGGCATGGTCTGAACAGAAAAATAAGTCTTTGGGTTTACATTCCTTGACTGAATTCCTTGGGGGAGGGGGCTGACTATAAAGTGGATCTCTTTTAGAGTATTTCTCCTATTGTTTTGACAAATTTTATGACCAATATTAAGATTGCAGCAAGATGCGATATGACCTGAAGTCAAAGATCCTGCTGGAAGTTGATGGCCTTTATTATAATGAGGCAAGAATAATGTATATATTAATGATCAAAGGTCTAGCTGGTTACACATTAGAAAGAAGCATCACAACATAGTTGTGATGGCAGGTATTGCAATGCATGTGTCTGCATCTACTGTTTGAAATGTTTTCCTAGTCAGGATTTGTTTCTAATTTTATTCTATGCATCTACTTAAGCAGACAAACAAACAATACCCCTGTATTGTATTACAAGGAGACATGAATGACCACGTAGGAAATATTGTCTTTTCCCCAGGAGACTTTTGTCCCCATTTTGGTGCTTAAAGATTTCCTGTGGTCATTGGACTATTTCTGTCGTTTTAATAATTCCTTGCTGGGAAACCGGATTTGGCTTCACCATTCATTGATGTAGTTTAAAAAGATGAAAACTGTTTGTTTTGGTTTTCTATATTACAAGGTAAGACATATTGCAGTAGAAAAAAGCCTGATTTGGGATTTTTATTGTAAGTTAAGACTTAAAAGGTAAAATAAAAGCTGAGCTCTCAAATCTTGTTTACAGTCAAAAAGAACAGCAAGAAAACAAAATTGTAGTACCACAATATAAACTTTTGTTCTGGATGATATTTTAAAAAGTAAACAGCCATATCACCTTAACATTGAAAGGGTTACATCAAGTAAGCGAAGAAGGTGATTCTTGGCAGCTGGCTATAAATGAAGTTGGCTTTTGGTTCTGTGTTGCATTTGTATATAAGGTTGTAAGGGCACTGTGATTGCCGTGACTATGCCTCCATGTCTATTGTTTTATATTTGTGGCTACAACATCAGTTGAAGCAGTAAATCCAGTAAACCATCCCAATCATCTTTTTAATGGATAAAACGTTAATCAAGAGTGTTCATAAAGTCAGTTACCAAATCTCAATTGAAAGGAAGTAAAAGATAAGCCAAACAAAATGATCAGTTGCATGAACATAATTAGCATAATTTGTTAACAGGCATTGGATAGTCCATAAATACTTCGGCTATCTCATTCCAACACAACTTGTACCAGATCATAAATCATGGGATGAATTCTGATGTCTTCTTCCATAAGGGAAATCCAGAAAAACCCTCTTGTGCCTAGTGGGTCAGACCCTTGTCCTGTGTTCAAACCTTTAAAAACAAAAAGGAAATGAAAACAAGTCTATCCAGAAGAATGACTAGCTTTCAAGGCCTTTGGACTCCAGAAGGAATGTAGTTGTCCAAGGTCTACAGCACGAACACATGTTTGTTGTGTAAGTAGCATTCCAGACCTTTCAGCTACATGTTTTGGGCCTGTCCCAAAATCTTCTGGAAAGAATTCCTCACTAAAATATAGTTCATCTTGAGTATTTCTCTTCCCAGAGAGGTACCCCTTCGGATAATGGAAGAGTTATTATCAACTCTCTAATTCCCTGAATATTGTGGAAATGTGGTTACAGGCAGCCTTCTAATGGCTAAAAAAGAGAGTAACTTTAAACTGGAAATAAACAATTATTTGAGGCTTTAATGGACTGGAAAGTAGGGCTTAGAGATTTAACATTGTTCAAATAAATACATAGTATGTTAGAAAGCATGATCGTATTTACAAGCATTTGGGGAGCTTCCTTAAGCATATGGCTGAACACATAGGGATATATCTTATCGTCTCCATATGTACTTTTAAATCCCATCGATATTAATACAAGTAACACATGTGCGTATAGACTAGACCATGTACTGTGTTTTCTTTATCCTTATTTCCTTATTAGGGATAATAATAAAACCATAAATACATTCCTTTTTGTTGTTTTATAAAACATTATGGGTCAATGCCTGATCTCATGAAAGTTGATGACCAAACTCCCATTGACGTTGTGGAGAGATTGTATCCTGTATGTACTGGAGTGGAGAAGGTCTGGTGGTTACAAAGCACAAGCAGAAGTCAGGACTCTTGAGCTTTGATCACATGCGTTCATCCAACTGCCACCGTGATTTTGGACAAATGCTTCTGTATACAGTAAAGCATGGAAGCACATGCCTGCACTGAATCATATAGGTGCCCGCCAAGGGAAGGGCTGCCAGCAAGCTCAGTGCTAGCTGTGGGTTGAGGTCAGCTTTAGTAGCAGATGATTCAGAAGTTCGATGTTTAAATGTAGGTTCATATCAGGGGAGAATAGTTGGAATATGTGTTTGATCAGGTTTTTGAGCTGGGACTTGAACTGCCACCAGCAGGAACTGAAAATCAGGTACAGCGGCATTGTGCTGCTGAATGAAACCCGGGAAGTCCAATTCACTAGAAAGGTTTCCATTCAGTGTTTGAAGAGAACAAAATAGAAATAAGTAGGAATCAAAAACTTTTTTTTGGGGGGAGGGCGAATTATTAGTTTTATCCTTAAATTATATTAGTAACTCTTAACATTTTTGCAGAAATTGCTGGTGCCTCTTACTCCCCCTTTCTCCATTTTTACTCTACTGTGATCTAGCACAAGTCTCATGGGATGGTATTAGAGGTGATGACCAATGTCACTGAATTGGAAGAGGAAAAACAATATATCAGCACTACTGATATGTAAATCTTCTGTGTGCTATTTTGTTTTGTGAGGGTAATTTATACCTTTTATTTGTTGCAGAAAGTTCTAGTAAACCATCTGCTAGGTATTTTCAAATATTAGTACAATAGCAACCCTTAACAGTCTGACTCATTTCTGTGCCATTTACAAAACACAAGGCATCATACAAATTTCTTCAGACACTCACCCAAGAGTCTTATTTCAAATAAATATGGATTCTCAGAAACATTTAACTTGGACCATTAAAAAAAGAGTCCATCAATCCATCACTAGTTGTTTTTTTTCAATTTCCTACATGCTAAATATTGTAAATGAAGTTGTAAAGATAAACCTGCAACTGAAACCTTGAAGTGTTGTTCTTGGGGACGTAATAGACACATTTATTTGTAAAGATGTAAAGGGAAAGCAAACAAATAGAAGATAGTCATGTTGGAAAGTGGCTCTGGGAAAAAAGCAAGTTCGTATTAGAGTTCAACAGCTGGGGCTTTTTCTTCCTTTCCTTCAGTTTCCTCTTTATCACCCACTGATGCTCAGGTTGCCTTCTGCAGTTGCACTGCCCACACCTCAGTGTCGTGCAGAGAGCAGAAATAGTGCAGTGATGAGTGCTGTGGCAAAGCCTATCAATATATATCTTACAAAAATAAAAAAAAAAAAGTCCAAGGGTAACAGTTTTAATAGTCTTTAAGTCTTTGTACAGATCAAAAATATTTTCTTTTGCCTTCAATAGGAATCCAGCAGTACTTCAAGCAATAATTACAGAGGACTCATACTTGGGTCATAATTGGCTCCAATTCAATTAATTACAGGTCTGTCTAGTCAAATGCTTAAAATTAAGTGTGTGCCTAAATTCATGGTGAAATCAGGGACCATTTGGTATTCTAAATGTATGGCAATCAGTTTCCATTAATTTGTATTTAAATAATGTTAAAAAAAAAGGCAAAAAAGAACATTTTATAAATAGGTAATATAGTAAGTTATTGTAAAGTCCAACCAAGCACATTAAGAAACTGTTTAGAGAGAGACTTTCCATTTTACTTTTTTTTTTTTTTAAATTGGTACTGGTGCTGATTTGTACTTTGTGATTAAAATGCACAGTCATTTTTATTATCTGAAAACATTTTGAGCATGTTGAAATTGAGATAGTAAAATCTAAAGTACAGTGATGCCTTCTGCATTTAAATCTCCAGTCAGTGTTGCCTGGTCTTTTATTCATTATTCTTCTATTCACCATTCTAATAGGTAGAGACTGACCCTTGGAGACAGCTGCTACCATTTCTGTTGTGGGAAATCCCTTCTTGTATGTTTGTGTGTACATTTAAATATAAAAACTCTTGCCAGACAGACTTATTTCAAATTTTACTTTACTCTTGTGCATAAAAAAAAGATTCAGCCGACGAGACTGTTGGCCAAGACATTTCTAGTGCTGTTTTGTTGTTTTCTTGGAATGTTAAGGATGTGTTGTCTTTTGAGATATGTCTTACCTTAGTCTGATGAAATTCAAAGTTTTTCTGACACATCCTTTCATCAGCCCAGTGGAATACTTGCTTGTGAGTCTTGCTTTGTTGAGGATTGTTGGTTATAAAAGGAAAGTCAGTTATATCTGTCTGTGTAACTATCAATACCTCATATAGTTACGAGATTGGCTCATGAACTTAAAGGCATACTTTTAAATGAGGATTACCCTTTTGTTATGGACTGAAGTGGAAAATGTTTTTCCCTTCCTGCTTAGTTTTTATGCTCAAAGTTAATCACTTCTAATAAAAGAAATAATTTTAAACCCTCAATGCTGGACTTCTTTGAATATGAGGGTAGATTTCTGAGCTATCCAGGTACTCAGCTGTATTTTGTGTATTTCCCAATGAGAACCTTTTTTTTCCATCAGCTTGCCTGAGCTGGGATAATCAGTGGTTCTATTAAGCCAAATTGATCTTAAAATTATATCCAGTCTGGTCTTATTGATGTGATGATCCACTGAACTGATTATCTTATTGCTGCCATCTAGGTGAAGTAATTGTGAGAGCAGCAGGGCTTGTATGAACCTTTAGAAGAAAAATTTGATAGACTGTGCTCCTTTCGAACA